GGCCAATTTTTTTCTTTCTCCTTTCTTCCTAGCCGACTGTAGTGGTGCAGCGCTTAAAGTTATTACAATATAGTTACGCTCCGGGATTACCAAATACCCTGGAATAATCAAGTTCAACTCACTGAACAGCACTAAATACAGTTCACAAACATAACACTGATTTTGTTAAGTAAACTTGTCTATGTTTTATTCAAATTGTCCGCAGCGCTGTGGATTAGCAAAATGCAATAATTTATTGTCATTTCTACGGAACTTGAGTGCGGTGTCTCTTTAGTAAGGGCACAGGCTATTAAGATTTCCGTAAGAATAATATTTTTATCGAAATTTTAAAATTTTCATTTCCAAATAAAGTCAGCGCCGCTTTAATCACCAATCCCCCTCAATGGGTACGAGCCAGGACATAAAGGAACAAGCAAGCAAGAAAGATGAAATACTTGCACGCGGTGCACGAGAACCAAACGGGGCCTCAATCAGTGGCAGGGGCTCAGACCAGCTGGCTGCACGCTTCCCGCTCTGGCCGCTGTTCCACCAAAGCGGTCGTCTCCTGGCTCCAGCTTGCCGGCGAGCTCCAAGGCAGAGGAGAGCGGCGGGCTCTTCACGTTCGACGACTGAGGCGAGAACGAGTCCGGGAGCGACGACGCCATGGTGAAGAAAGCGGCGGAGCCCAACGGCGTTCTGCCAAAGGTCGGGCGAGCGAAGCGTCAGGCTGCCCCTGACCAGAATGCCGCTGGTCCTTCGAACGAGGCTGCAGCGACCAAGCGTCCACGTGGCCGACCGCCAAAGACCTCGTCGGAGGGGCCGCTTGCACCGACCCCCATTGCACCAACGCCAGCTCGGAAGTTGCGCAAGGCCATGGAGGTGACGCAGCCCGAAGCAGAAAACCCTTCTGCCAGCAAGGAAGTGGCAGGAAAAACCCCGAGAATCACCCGTGCGAAGCGCTCTCGAAGCTCCTCCTCAAAAAGCCCTAACGACACGGCAAGCGAGGAGCCAAAGCGTCGCCGATCCAAGAAGGTGAGCCGGAGTCGGTCGACACACTCATCGCGTAGTCGTCATATCAGGCACGCTCGTAAAGCCCGAGGCCGTAGAAGCTCTTCTGCATCGTCGGAAGCAAGCCACCCACGGAAAAGGCGCACCAGGAGTCACCGCCATGTCCGCTCCATTTCATCGTCTTCGACCACGCACCGGCGCTCGAAGCGCGACAAGAAGCGACGCCACACCCGTAGTCGCTCGTCCTCGAGACACGGAGGGAGACACGGAAAGGCACGGAGTGCCCCGAGCAGCCGGTCGTCGTCTGTGCGCGGGAGGCGCACTAGGACGGGCAAGACATCCAAGAATGGGAAGAAAAAGTAGGCGAAGCCATCAGGACTGATCTAGCAGAGCCACGCTAAATAATTAATTGGCATTTCATTTTCTTTTTTCTGAAAATTGTGGCGAGGTTTAAAGGGCCTCTTCTGCAAGGCACAATATTGTGCAATAAAATTCATTTTGTTTCCCCTGTATTGCTCAGTTATTGTCTGAAATATGCTGTACGAGGGGCAGATCTAGACGGGAGGATGCCGGGCAGATTAAGTGTCACCCCTCTCCCTACCCCTATTCATCTTCCTTCTCTGTCGCCGGCCTCCTTGTCATGTTTCATGTGGATATTTCCTCGGCTTCCACTTCCCAAACCGCTAGGCATAGTAGCCGAGTGGTTAGAGCCGTCGCGTAAAGTGCTGGAGGCATTGAATTCGATTCCCAGTGCTGCCGGAGACCCACTATTTCTAAATACTAAAAATTTTACGTACCGGAACCACTTTAGCATGTCTATCTGCATATCTGGTTATCTATCTATAAAGCCGCCTACTTATGGGGGCTGCCATCCTCACCCCGTTAACTTGTGGTAAACAAAAATTAGCATGGGAGGGTAGGATGATTTGACGAATATGGCTTGCTTGTGTTAGGTACGGCACTTGCGCCGAAAAGGGGAGCAAAATTCCGGGTACTGCGAACGAGTCGCTGATGTGCTCCTTGCCTGCGGAAAGCCGTTCCAGCCCGGGCATTGAGACCGCCGTGTTTTGTCCAAGCGAGGCGTCGTGCCACCACGACGGCGTAGGCGGTATTGCGCGAGGACGACAAGAGTTTACGCAGTGGCGACATCTTCCTTGAAAGGGTTAGCGGCGGCAGCCGCGAATTGCCAGTGCCACGGACGCTTCGAGCTTAATCGAAGCGGCCCTTTTGATGTATGCGGCCGTGAGCTGGAGACCCCTCGCACAGCGGCACAAACACTACGAGGAACAGCCACTTTGGTGACACATGGCACTGCAGTGACATCGCCTCAATATTGGACGTTCACGTGGGCCACGCATGCTCGTCAAACTCACGGGTTGTGTGTGATCTGTGATTCTACAGTGTACTTTGGTACCCTTTCCCTCTTCCAAGGATGTGGGGAAACGGGACTATTTAAAATCAGCCCTCGCGGGCTGCTTTGTGGGCCATTTCGCTGCAGTGCTTTCTCGAGGCATTGCTTTTGAGTGTTGTTTCTTGTCGTTGTAGAGCTTTCGAGGAGATCGTCACGATGCAGGACGACATCTTCGTTTCGAAGTTCGTCATGTGGCGAGAAACGCTTTCCTGTAAATATAGTAAAATAAACCTCCGTAAATTTCTCCTTGGGAAGGCGCCTCCTCCCTGCACGATGGGCTAAACGGATCCGGTGGCGGCAGCCAGCTACATAGGACGAGACCCGCCGGACCCGAGCCGCAACGACTGGTAGCAGAGGTGGTATGCTGTCAGACCCCAGGCCTAACACTGGTCACAACATGCATGATGTCATAATCCCGTCACGTACAATGCCACAATTTTTCCGCCAGATATGCCTCATAAGTTGAACGATCACTGTCTTTGACCTGTGTTGAAGCATTGCATGTCACCCTCGTGTTTTTAAATACCGATACGTTTTACGCGCCTTAGAATGTGGAGTATGGGCCCCTCTAAGCCACGTAACATTCTCATAGTTTGCATCTCCCACATGTCACTGAAAAGCTCACATAATTGCTATTTTAAAGAAATTTTTCCTGGTCCTTGCGCCAACAAAAAACCACATGTCATCAAAACCATTTCCGCCAGACACACTTGTGGCACATAAACCTGTTTACCATGCATAGGTGAGTACGACTCAAGTGATTGATATGCTGGCTATGTTACTTGGGTTCCTTTTGAAACCTCTGCCGACGCCCTGCTGCCCATTTTCTTTTTCTCTTTCGCACATTTCCTTTCTTTTCACGTTAGTTATTTCTTTGTTCTACTCGTTCTATTTTTCGCTTACTCTTGCTATCAAGCTATCTGATTTCTATCTTCGACTGCCAAGAGGGCAGTCGAAGCCTGACCTCCCATCTTAGAGTGATAAAGGCCATCGCTCGGAACACTGTTTCGAAATAGACGTTTATTTCTCTCACGCTCTATCTCTCTCTCTATCTCTCTCTCTCTCTCTCTCTCTCTCGCCGTGCTGGTTTTTTTTCCTTTTTACCGTTCGACGCAAAAACTTTAATCTGCCTGTCTATCTGTACATTTGTCTGTTTGTTCACCAGTAATGGTACCCTAAACCGCTCCTAAGTGACCAAACAATACTCCAAACGACTGAACCCATCCGCAGCACCCACCAATATTTGCTCAATATTCAGTGCTCATACTCGTGTGATTGTCAATTAAAAAGCAATTATTGCGCATATCTGAGGCACCATAAAAACACGTCAATATTTTGTATGTGTGTCTCTTACTAGAAAAGCCATACATAACTAATTCTAAGGACCGTAGCCTTTATCACGTTGCGCTGACCATGCAACGCTTGCACGAAAAGGCAAGTGTTTCGAACGCGTTGCTAAGACGACACAGTCATGGCACCTAACGGTCGTAATGCGTTCTACACCTTATCAGCTTCGAGACAGGGGCGCAGGGCGCGCGTGCTTCGTTTTCCAAGAAGACTGCCAGATAGCGTTCATGTCTCACGTTGAACGTCACTTGATGCGCTCGTTTGCCTCCGCTGCACGCTCGAGGCACTCTAACGATGCACCTCCAGAATACGATTCACCAATTTTCTTGTGCAGAACTTCAAATAAACGTTTTGCTCACTCTCTTCCGACGCAAGACTATCGCCTTTTAACGACATTCGATGATGATGATGATGATGATCCTTGAGACTCGGGCGCACACCCACAAAGAGGGATTTAACGACATTTGTAGTGTAACATTTAGATACGGGCCAATTTTTTCTTTCTCCTTTCATCCTAGTCGACTGTAGTGGTGCAGCGCTTAATGTTATTACAATATAGTTACGCTCCGGGATTACCAAATACCCTGAAATAATCAAGTTCAACTCGTTGAACAGCACTAAATACAGTTCATAAAAACTAACACTAATTTTGTTAAGTAAACTTGTCTATGTTTTATTCAAATTGTCCAAAGCGCTGTGGATTGATTTGGGCGCACGTTAAAGAACCCCAGGTGGTCGAAATTTCCGGAGCCCTCCACTACGGCGTCTCTCAGAATCATATGGTGGTTTTGGGACGTTAAACCCCACAAATCAATCAAGCGCTGTGGATTAGCGAAATGCGATATTTTTGTCATTTCAACGGAACTTGAGTGCGGTGTCTATTTAATAAGGGCACATGCTATAAAGATTTCCGTGAGAATATTATGTTTGATCGAAATTTAAAAATTTGTGTTTCCCAATAAAATCAGTGCCGGTTTAATGGCCAATCCCCCTCAATCTGTACAAGCCAGGATATATAGGAACAAGCAAGCAAAAAAGATAAAAAACTTGCACGGGGTGCACGAGAACGAAACGGGGCCTCATTAAGTGGCAGGGGCTCAGACCAGCTGGCTGCACGCTTCCCGCTCTGGCCGCTGTTCCACCAAAGCCGTCGTCTCCTGGCTCCCGCTTGCCGGCGAGCTCCAAGGCAGAGGAGAGCGGCGGGCTCTTCACCATCGACGACTGAGGCGAGAACGAGTCCCGGAGCGACGACGCCATGGTGAAGAAAGCGGCGGAGCCCAACGGCGTTCCGCCAAAGGTCGGGCGAGCGAAGCGTCAGGCTGCCCCTGACCAGAATGCCGCTGGTCCTTCGAACGAGGCTGCAGCGACCAAGCGTCCACGTGGCCGACCGCCAAAGACCTCGTCGGAGGGGCCGCTTGCACCGACCCCCATTGCACCAACGCCAGCTCGAAAGTTGCGCAAGGCCACGGAGGTGACGCAGCCCGAAGCAGAAAACCCTTCTGCCAGCAAGGAAGTGGCAGGAAAAACCCCGAGAATCACCCGTGCGAAGCGCTCTCGAAGCTCCTCCTCAAAAAGCCCTAACGACACGGCAAGCGAGCAGCCAAAGCGTCGCCGATCCAAGAAGGTGAGCCGGAGTCGGTCGACACACTCATCGCGTAGTCGTCATATCAGGCACGCTCGTAAAGCCCGAGGCGGTAGAAGCTCTTCTGCATTGTCGGAAGCAAGCCACCCACGGAAGAGGCGCACCAGGAGTCACCGCCATGTCCGCTCCATTGCATCTTCTTCGACCACGGTCCGGGGCTCGAAGCACGACAAGAAGCGACGCCACACCCGTAGTCGCTCGTCCTCGAGACACGGAGGGAGACACGGAAAGGCACGGAGTGCCCCGAGCAGCCGGTCGTCGTCTGTGCGCGGGAGGCGCACTAGGACGGGCAAGATATCCAAGGATGGGAAGAAAAAGTAGGCGAAGCCATCAGGACTGATCTAGCAGAGCCACGCTAAATAATTAATTGGCATTTCGTTTCCTTTTTTTGAAAAAAGTGGCGAGGTTTCAAGGGCCTCTTCTGCAAGTCACAATATTGTGCAATAAAATTCATTTTGTTGCCCTTGTATTGCTCAATTATTGTCTGAAATATGCTATACGAGTGGCAGATCTAGACGGAGGGAGGCCGGGAAGTTTAAGTGTTACCCCTCCCTCTTCCCCTATCCATCTTCATTCCATGTCGCCTACCTCCTTGTCAGGTTTCATGTTGATGTTTCCTCGGCTACCACTTTCCAAACCGCAGTGCATAGTAGGCGAGTGGTTAGAGCCGTCGCTTCCAGTGCTTGAGGCATGGAATTCGATTCCCAGAGCTGCCGGAGAACCACTATTTCTAAATGCAAAGTATTTTACGTACCGGAACCACTTTAGCATGTCTATCTGCACATCTGGTTACCTATCTATATAGCCGCCTACTTATGGGTGCTGCCATTCTCACCCCGTTAACTTGTGGTAAACAAAAATTAGCATGGAAGGGTAAGATGGTTTACGAATATGGCTCACTGGTGTTAGGTACGGCACTTGCGCCAAAAAGGTGAGAGAAATTCCGGGTACTGCGAACGGGTCGCTGATGTGCTCCTTGCCTGCGGGAAGCCGTTCCAGCCCGGGCATTGAGACCGCCATGTTTTGTCCAAGCGAGGCGTCGTGCCGCCACGACGGCGTAGGCCGTATAGCGCGAGGACGACAAGGGTTTACGCAGTGGCGACATCTTCCTTCAAAGGGTTAGCAGCGGCAGCCACGAATTGCAACGCCACGGACGCTTCGAGCTTAATCGAAGCGGCCCTTTTGATGTATGCGGCCGTGAGCTGGAGACCCCTCGCACAGAGGCACACACACTACGAGGAACAGCCACTTTGGTGACACATGGCACTGCAGTGACATCGCCTCAATATTGGACGTTCACGTGGGCCACGCATGCTCGTCACACTCACGGGTTGTGCGTGATCTGTGATTCTACAGTGTATTTTGGTGCCCTTTCCCTCTTCCAAGGATGTGGGGAAACGGGACTATTTAAAATCAGCACTCGCGGGCTGCTTTGTGGGCCATTTCGCTGCAGTTCTTTCTCGAGGCATTGCTTTTGAGTGTTGTTTCTTCTCGTTGTAGAGCTTTTGAGGAGATCGTCACGATGTAGGACGACATCTTCGTTTCGAAGTTCGTCATGTGGCGAGAAATGCTTTCTATCTTCGACTGCCAAGAGGGCAGTCGAAGCCAGACCTCTGACCTTAGAGTAACACAGGCCATCGCTCGGAACACTGTTTCAAATTAATCGTTTATTTCTCTCACGCTCTCTCTCTCTCTCTCTCTCTCTCTTTCTCTCTCTCTCGCCGTGCTGGTTTTTTTTCCTGTCTTTTTACCGATCGACGCAAAAACTTTGGTCTGCCTGTCTATCTGTACATTTTTCTGTTTGTTCACCAGTAATGGTACCCTAAACCGCTTCTAAGTGACCAAACAATACTTCAAACGACTGAACCCATCCGCAGCACCCACGAATATTGCTCAATATTCAGCGTTCATACTCGTGTGATTGTCAATTAAAAAGCAATTATTGCGCATATCTGAGGCACCATAAAAACACGTCAATATTCTGTATTTGTGCCTCTTACTAGAAAAGCCATACATAACTAATTCTAAGGACCGTAGCGTTTATCACCTTGCGCTGACCATGCAACGCTTGCACGAAAAGGCAAGTGTTTCGAACGCGTTGCTAAGACGACAATGTCATGGCACCTAACTGTCGCATTGCGTTCTACACCTTATCAGCTTCGAGACGGGGGCGCAGGGCGCGCGTGCTTCGTTTTCCAAGAAGACTGCCAGACAGCGTTCATGTCTCACGTTGAACGTCACTTGATGCGCTCGTTTGCCTCCGCTGCACGCTCGAGGCACTCTAACGATGCACCTCCAGAATACGATTCACCAATTTTCTTGTGCAGAACTTCAAATAAACGTTTTGCTCACTCTCTCCCGACGCAACACTATCGCCTTTTAACGACATTCGATGATGATGATGATGATCCTTGAGACTCGGGCGCACACCCACAAAGGGGGATTTAACGACATTTGCAGTGTAACATTTAAATACGGGCCAATTTTTTCTTTCTCCTTTCTTCCTAGTCGACTGTAGTGGTGCAGCGCTTAATGTTATTACAATATAGTTACCCTCCGGGATTACCAAATACCCTGAAATAATCAAGTTCAACTCGTTGAACAGCACTAAATACAGTTCATAAAAAATAACACTAATTTTGTTAAGTAAACTTGTCTATGTTTTATTCAAATTGTCCGAAGCGCTGTCGATTGATTTGGGCGCGCGTTAAAGAACCCCAGGTGGTCGAAATTTCCGGAGCCCTCCACTACGGCGTCTCTCACAATCATATGGTGGTTTTGGGACGTTAAACCCCACAAATCAATCAAGCGCTGTGGATTAGCAAAATGCAATATTTTTTGTCATTTCAACGGAACTTGAGTGCGGTGTCTCTTTAATAAGGGCACATGCTATAAAGATTTCCGTGAGAATATTATGTTTGATCGAAATTTAAAAATTTGTATTTCCCAATAAAATCAGTGCCGGTTTAATGGCCAATCCCCCTCAATGGGTACAAGCCAGGATATATAGGAACAAGCAAGCAAGAAAGATGAAAAACTTGCACGGGGTGCACGAGAACGAAACGGGGCCTCATTCAGTGGCAGGGGCTCAGACCAGCTGGCTGCACGCTTCCCGCTCTGGCCGCTGTTCCACCAAAGCCGTCGTCTCCTGGCTCCCGCTTGCCGGCGAGCTCCAAGGCAGAGGAGAGCGGCGGGCTCTTCACCTTCGACGGCTGAGGCGAGAACGAGTCCCGGAGCGACGACGCCATGGTGAAGAAAGCGGCGGAGCCCAACGGCGTTCCGCCAAAGGTCGGGCGAGCGAAGCGTCAGGCTGCCCCTGACCAGAATGCCGCTGGTCCTTCGAACGAGGCTGCAGCGACCAAGCGTCCACGTGGCCGACCGCCAAAGACCTCGTCGGAGGGGCCGCTTGCACCGACCCCCATTGCACCAACGCCAGCTCGAAAGTTGCGCAAGGCCACGGAGGTGACGCAGCCCGAAGCAGAAAACCCTTCTGCCAGCAAAGAAGTGGCAGGAAAAACCCCGAGAATCACCCGTGCGAAGCGCTCTCGAAGCTCCTCCTCAAAAAGCCCTAACGACACGGCAAGCGAGCAGCCAAAGCGTCGCCGATCCAAGAAGGTGAGCCGGAGTCGGTCGACACACTCATCGCGTAGTCGTCATATCAGGCACGCTCGTAAAGCCCGAGGCGGTAGAAGCTCTTCTGCATTGTCGGAAGCAAGCCACCCACGGAAGAGGCGCACCAGGAGTCACCGCCATGTCCGCTCCATTGCATCTTCTTCGACCCCGATCCGGCGCTCGAAGCGCGACAAGAAGCGACGCCACACCCGTAGTCGCTCGTCCTCGAGACACGGAGGGAGACACGGAAAGGCACGGAGTGCCCCGAGCAGCCGGTCGTCGTCTGTGCGCGGGAGGCGCACTAGGACGGGCAAGATATCCAAGGATGGGAAGAAAAAGTAGGCGAAGCCATCAGGACTGATCTAGCAGAGCCACGCTAAATAATTAATCGGCATTTCGTTTTCTTTTTTCTGAAAAAAGTGGCGAGGTTTCAAGGGCCTCTTCTGCAAGTCACAATATTGTGCAATAAAATTCATTTTGTTGCCCTTGTATTGCTCAATTATTGTCTGAAATATGCTATACGAGGGGCAGATCTAGACGGGAGGATGCCGGGCAGATTAAGTGTCACCCCTCTCCCTCCCCCAATTCATCTTCATTCCATGTCGCCTACCTCCTTGTCAGGTTTCATGTGGATGTTTCCTCGGCTACCACTTCCCCAACCGCAGTGCATAGTAGCCGAGTGGTTAGAGCCGTCGCTTCCAGTGCTTGAGGCATTGAATTCGATTCCCAGTGCTGCCGGAGAACCACTATTTCTAAATGCAAAGTATTTTACGTACCGGAACCACTTTAGCATGTCTATCTGCACATCTGGTTATCTATCTATATAGCCGCCTACTTATGGGTGCTGCCATCCTCAACTCGTTATCGTGTGGTAAACAAAAATTAGCATGGGAGGGTAGGAACTTTTGACGAATATGGCTCACTGGTGTTAGGTACGGCACTCGCGCCGAAAAGGGGAACGAAATTCTGGGTACTGCGAACGAGTCGCTGATGTGCTCCTTGCCTGCGGAAAGCCGTTCCAGCCCGGGCATTGAGACCGCCATGTTTTGTCCAAGCGAGGCGTCGTGCCGCCACGACGGCGTAGGCCGTATTGCGTGAGAACGATAAGAGTTTACGCAGTGGCGACATCTTCCTCGAAAGGGTTAGCGGCGGCAGCCGCGAATCGCCAGTGCCACGGACGCTTCGAGCTTAATTAAACGGCCCTTTTGATGTATGCGGCCATGAGCTGGAGACCCCTCGCACAGCGGCACACACACTACGAGGAACAGCCACTTTGGTGACACATGGCACTGCAGTGACATCGCCTCAATATTGGACGTCCACGTGGGCCGCGCATGCTCGTCACACTCACGGGTTGTGTGTGATCTGTGATTCTACAGTGTAATTTGGTGCTCTTTCCCTCTTCCAATGATGTGGGGAGACGGGATTATTTAAAATCAGCCCTCGCGGGCTGCTTTGTGGGCCATTTCGCTGCAGTACTTTTTCGAGGCATTGCTTTTGAGTGTTGTTTCTTCTAGTTGTAGAGCTTTCAACGAGATCGTCACGATGTAGGACGACATCTTCCACTGGAAGTTCGTCATGTGGCGAGAAATGCTTTCTATCTTCGACTGCCAAGAGGGCAGTCGAAGCCAGACCTCCCACCTTAGAGTAACACAGGCCATCGCTCGAAACACTGTTTCAAAATAAACGTTTATTTCTATCACTCTCTCTCTCTCTCCCCCGTGCTTGTTTTTCTTCCTCTCTTTTTATCGTTCGACGCAAAAATTTTGGTACGTCTTTCTATCTGTAGATTTGTCTGTTTGTCCACACTTGGCGGTACTGTAAACGGCTCCGAAGTGACCAAACAATACTCCAAACGGCTGACCCCATCCGCAACGCCCAACAATATTGCTCAATATTCAGCGTTCATACTTGTGCGATTGTCAATTAAAAGGCAATTATTGCGCATATCTGAGGCATCACAACAGCACGTCAATATTCTGTATGTGGGTCGCATACTAGAAAAGGCATACATAACTAATTCTAAGGACCATGGTGTTTATCACGATGCGCTGACCATGCAACGCTTGCATGAAAAGACAAGTGTTCCCAACGCTTTTCTAAGACGACACGTGGTGGCATCTAACCGCCGCCTTGCGTTCTACACCTTATCAGCTCCGAGACGGGGGCGCAGGGCATGCGCGCTTTGTTTTCCAAGATGACTGCCAGATAACGCTCATGTCTCATGTTTGACGTGACTTGATTCACTCGTTCACCTCCGCTGCACGCTCGAGGCACTCTAACGCAGCGCCTCCAGAATACCATTTACCAATTTTCTTGTGCTGATCTTCAAATAAACGTTTTGTTCACTCTCTCCAGGCGCAAGACTATCGTCTTTCGACGACATTTGCAGTGTGACATGTAGATCGGCGCCGAAGGGGAAAAAGAACAGTGTCGACTTGTTGCACAGGCGGTCGAAATGCTCGGCCTGCAAGTTGTGGCTGAATAAAAGTCTATTAATGCTGTTTGTTAGTCCCTTTTTTCCTGGCGCAACCCACCATGAGGGATAAGCCATGAAACGAACGGTGTCTTGCTATTTAATAGGAAATGTTTATAATTTCGAAATGCTAAGTTTTTATTGAATATGCTTGATTTTGATAATTTTTAATGATGAGCTTAGCATTCTATTTTTCTCGTCTCCCTAAGAAAATCGCAAACGGCTTCGCACACGCTCCTGTGGCTAAAACTCAGCACGGTAGCCCCAAACGAAAGAAGAAACGGAAGGGATAAACTTAATATCAACCTTGGCAGCGTTCGTCTAAAAGTCCTTTGCTCTGATTGGTGAATAATCTGTACGTTAGAAAGAAATGATCAAGAGATTCACACTCATTGCAATGGAGGCATAATAGTGACTGTACCAGACCAGACCTGTGTAGGTAGAAATTCAGTGAGGGGACTCGGCATCGTATTTTGGTAACTGTGATCTTGGTTTCAGATAGATTCCGCTAGTCTAAAGTCTCCTTGATAAGAGCGATGATTGATGAGAGATCGTAGTTACAAACAGGCAGCTCAATTTTGAACGGATTCCTGTAGATTATTGCAATCATTGGAATACACTTCAAACAGCAAAGTTAACGTTCCTGATACCTTCCTTGATTCCATTATCTACGGCTTTTCATTAACGTAGGCAAATGGCAAAGGACGTACGTTGCAGTGTCCTCATTTGATTATTCACGTTATTGCTTCTGCATATATGCATGCTGCAGAGCATCTTTACACTGTTGTACTACATTTACCCGCCATCATACGATTATAAACTCTAACCTTACAACAGGATGGCAACCTGTATTCGCACTCGCCTAAAGTTGTAGCTCTGTCACCGTGAGACGGTAATTTGCGTCGTATTTTTCTGTTCACACGTGTGGAATATTTATATTACGCTGTTCACGTTATTCTCACTGCATGCAGCGCAGGACATATGACACGTTTGGTCATATGCTGCATGTGGAGCTGAAAGCACTTGATGTCTGTAATGACAAGACACGTGTGGTCAGGAAATTGAGAGATAAAGAGATAGAGAGATAGAGAAAGAGCGTATGAGAAAAAAAAAGGAATAGAAACAAAGCTATTTCCGAGAGAAGAATGAACTGCTGGGCGAGTTGGTAATTCATCTCAACTGTGGTGTACGGCAATCCGCTGTCGTTTGGGAAGTTTTATTTTAATAGAATTTGGGATCACAAAGCTTCTCTGAAGGAAGAACTATGCTCTAACCTATCATCGCATTGCAGAGAGTGCGAGTTCGCGCCATTGTTTGATGATACGGTAGTTAAAGCTAGATTCAGGGACAAGGTAGCGTGGGAATTTGAAGAGGCGTATCTCATCATCAAAGTTGGTGACTCAAGTGTCGCGCAACCCTCGGTTATGTTACTTCCCGCTGAGGTAGCTTTTTTGGAAGCTCATAATTAATTCAATCTGTCTGCTCATCCAATCATTTTCTTTCACCGCACGTGTTGGCGTAACCGCATATATATGTCTGTTTGTGTGTGCAGTGCTCTGCTTCTCTCCTCTCTTTCTATTTTTAATCCTCATTCCCCATCCCCAGTGCAGGGTAGCAAACTGGACGTTCATCTGGTTAACCTCCTTGCCTTCCCTCTTCTTGTTTCTTCCTTCCTTCCTGTTTTCTCGAATAAAGTTTCAGTTGTTAGTTTGCGCTGTGTCCAGGTGTCTCCCTTTTGTAGTTCAAATTTTTTCACGCTCTCAGTTAAGAAGCTATTCTTTTGTGTAATTCTTTCACTCATCAGGGTAAACGTTGTACAAGGAAGGTTCATTAACTGTTTCGGCTTCGTTGATGGTCCGAGCTTTTAGTGGCGCTTCACTGGCAGCCCTTTCACCATAAGACATAAAAGACTAAAAGTAAATAAGCCGAACATAATTGTAACAGGAGCGTCTAGTTCGTTACTCTTTATACTTGGGGGAGGTGAAATTATAATAACAAACGAACAAAAGAACCTGACGCTGGCCTATTTCGTTCGTGTCACCGAGTATGGCCAGCAGTCTAGAAAATTTCAACAAAGAAGCAGCTCGAATTGGCCGACGACAAGGCTGAGCTAAGAAAGCATTTTTACAGGAAAATAATGTAATTATTGTTGGCGTTTTGCATCGCAACACCACAATATGATTGAGGGACGCCCTTGTAGAGGGCTCCAGAAGTTTCGACCACCTGGGGTTCTTATAACGTGCTCTTAACTCGAAGCTCACGGACTTTGGCATTTTCGCCTTTATCGAAATTGCGACCGCCACGGTCGGGATTCGTCACCGTGACTTGCCGGCTAGCAGTCAAGCACCCTAACCATTAGACCACCGTGGCGGGTGCTTTTTTATTCGAATAATGTGTGTCACCAAGGATTGGAGAAGTTTAACTTTTTTTGGTATCTTTCTTTTGCATAGGGACCACTTCATGGTTCCTAGTCGAAGACACGTTTGCGGCTCCTGTGACAATATGCTGCTGCACGTATACGCTGCAACCATCTTTGCCATCGCTGCTAACCGTTCCAAGTGTTGGCCGAGCGGCTGCTGTCGCGCCGGGCATCTTGAAGGGGTGGGAGCTTAATATTAGTGACCTCGAATGAGGAGCTTTGGTTATAAAAGATGCTTCTGACAATTTATTGGAAGTGTGGAGTGTCTGTGATGTAAGCGTACAAAGTCTTCAGCAAAAATGATGAATCATTTGCTTGCGGTAATAATCACTGCTCGAAGTAACGGTTTAAGGTTCTGACGGCAATCACAGTCCCGCGCTATGAACACCTCATCGGTCGGGCGGACAGCTCGAAATGCGAACGCTGCCATGAATGTGAGACAGTAACACTTGTCATAACGCGATAGCAAGAGAGCTCGTTGTGCATAAATTCTGGTTCGACGTCGTTGTCGGTGGTTGTGAGGAAAAAAGCAGCGTTGTCTGTGAGCGGAAAACAGGTAGACACAAATTAATTTTAAAAAGTCTAGTTTAAGTGGGAATCGAACCAAGACTTCCTGCGTGGCTAACACATGTTCTACCACAGAGCCACGTCATTTCTTTGATCTGTGTTTCAAAAAAAAAAAAGACCTTATACGAATGTAAAATAATGCAAGGATTCTCATTATTGCATGTAATGTTGTGGGGTGGAAGCGTAGAATCGCGCCAGGCGCCGAGACGCGTTAATTGCACAGTGAGTGTGTGGTATGAAGGCCCACCTATTACAAAGCACTCAGGCATATTTTCTCATCATTAGGAGCAAAATTATTGGCATCATTAGCAGTAAACTATGGTGCAATGGGCACTCAGCAACTGTACTTGTAGTGGGAATTCTGGATAGTCTGAAATGACCAATGTGTAGTGCGCACACGTTCCTTTCCTTGGGGCATGATTGAGCAAAGCGAGGCTACCGAATCAGAAGGTGATGCGAACGGGGCCCAATAATACGCTCTCGCGTTCTGCTCTTGAGGCGAAGCTCAAGCGTTCCCCGACTTTGTTTTGCAATTGCCCATTTTATGTGTCGCAACAACAACAACAAAAAAAAAACGCTAGCTTCGATGCTGGCCGGAACCGGTGTTGTAACGCTAACTGAAAGTGACATATCGTCAGCAATTAGTGATCAGACAGTGCGAGCAACAAGGGCAGTTATATAGCTCCTTAAGACACAGGACTGGTCTCCAGGCTCTAGCAAGACTGCAATGTTACGTGGATATTGTATATACATACCACTTCTTTCTCTCCCCCTCGTCACCCCTCATCACTATTTCTTTACCTTCTCTCATGTACACGATAGCAGGCCATAGAGTTGCCTAAAATTAACTAGAGGGGACTTTGTCGCTGCGATCGTTCTGTGACCATGGGAATGATGGGTAGTACACACATTTGCCTAGTCTTCGTAGTTGTGGGTGGCGAATCGCACTTGCGGCTTCGTTTATTGCTGTATTTCGGTTTTGTTTTGAAAGAAAGATTCAACCCTTTTGAACTTCGTGAGCTGATTTGAAAATGTAAGTCTAAAAGAATAAAGTAAAGCGCAACCACTGAACATTTGCTAATTTTCGTTTCGTGAGAAAACAGCTTCAAGCACACGAACACACACGGAGCCAAAACAGACCAAAAGTACGAAGATTAGACAAATGTGTGCACTGCCCATGATTCTCATGCTCGCTGAAGTGCCGTGTGTTGCAGCTCCCATAGACACTAGCGCCATAGTTCTTTCTAGTGTATATTGGGAAACTTCATGTAGCAGGCTAGCCCAGGCCGCCCTCTCTGCCTTTCGATAATTGCACACACTCTTTTCTCCTGCAGCACGTGAATGAACATGGAACTGCCCTATTTCTCCAAAAATTAACTGGACAGAAGCCCTTACTATAAAGATGTTTCCCCGAAATACATGCAGTATAATTTCTAAAAGAAAGCATTTTATCTCTATATCATTACAAAGAGTCAACATTTTACCCTCCATTATCACAAGATTACTAGCTCTTTTTGGCATCCGTAGACATCAAACATCGTCAGCTTATTTCTCGCAGCGTACACGTTTTGCTTATATTCGCTTTTAGCTCGATATGCTCTTTAGTTTTGAAACAGCACCCTTTCAATATAGAGAGAAATGATGTAACAGTAGAGAGTGGTAGATAAATCTTTTCCTTTCAAATTTATATTTTTCACTTTCTTGCAGGAAATAAAAAAAAAGGTTGATTGATACAAAAAGGAAATATAGATGTCAAGGTCATCTTTCAAAAATTATATGGCAGCTAGAACCAGTGCGCTATTTCGCAAGTGGTACCTCAATATATAATTTTTTCTTGGTGGCGTGTTCTCATAAAGTACCTAAAACTTGCTAGCCCGTCTCTTGTTTCTGTACACTGCAGTTTGATCTTTTCTGTTAATCAATGAAAAGTTAACAAGACGTCGCACTCTGAATATCGGTGGCGTCACAGAGTGATAGTTCGGCTACCTGCGGAGTGGCGTCACCACCTGTCTATCGATTTCGCATCTCTGACTCGCCAAGCTTGGGCCGGCTGTATGAAATTTGGCCTCAGCCTGCATCGTACTCCCAACCTCGGACGTCCCGTGGGGGAGACCGTGTGCTGCGGGGTTTCCGTCACCCAGAAATTCTCAGCATCCTTGACTTCTCGTGGAGAAAATGGAAACATTCAGAATGTCTCGTGGTCACATTGCCATATAGTTCGCGATGCTGTGCGCCAGACACAAAACTGTTCGAAAGTACACACTGGTACCACTCCATTCAGGGAAAACAATAACAGACACACTGGATGCCAATTCGACTCGGCGAACAGAAAAAGAAAGAGAAATCAGTCAAACTTTATTTACAAACGGATTGTTGTACGGGCTGTCAGCGCTAGTACGTTCACCCGCATCCTTTCGATTTGTCGATTTTTTGTGGGGCACATTATATACACATATGCAAAAAATTTCTTCGTACCTCAAAAAAAAAAAAAAAGGCATGAAAGCTGGAAGGTATTTCCAGTTTGCGGGAAAATATCACATATTTGTTCACAATGAAGACGACACAAACCGTGTGACCTGCAAAGTGAACATTCGTGATGAAGTGTGTTGTATGGCACTTTAAGGTTTTTCGTCACATGGCTCGAATGGTTTAGGCTTCTGTAACGCCTTACGGGGAGAAACAAAGGACACACGTGCCAAGGGAAACCGAATGTAAGTGTTCAGAGCGCCGATCAAACACTGAATTTTGAATCAACCCCGACATCGCGCTCTCTAATGAGAGCCGTGTAGTCTGCACACATTAGAAAATCACCCAGACCACTGCACTGGGGCAGTGAGTGTGTTCGATTAGGCGCGTTTCTTCAAGTTGTAAAGTCTGTCACTTGCCGATTATTTCGCAGCGCGTAGGGTCATTAATAGGTACAGTGGCTCTACACACACGATAGCGCACGGTGTCTAATCCAGCTGCGTTCACATGATGTGGTGGAAAGTCTTTGTGACCGAAATCCGTGGCTTCTTTGCTCTTTACTTGGGTAGGCACAGCGCCAGGTACGCACTTCCCTCGTACAATGGTTCTCGTACGTTGACAACCTTGCGGTCACTGAGTTCAGCGGCACGGTGCACAAGTGATGGGCCGGGCAGTTGCACGCCTTGTACGTGGCGTAGTGGTCTCGTGTGACGTGTCCGCACGGCTCTCCCGGCCTGCACTCGCGCAGCTGCGCAGACGGTGTAAAGCCAGTTGCAATAAGTGACAACGTTCGGTGACGAGAATCTTCCAAAATACGCATAAAGAGCGCACGCAATAAGGAATGTCCCACGATTGCGATCGTGTTATCTAACAGCCGAAGCCCACCCGCTTTTTCATCACCTGCGCCAAGCAACAGCACTGCGATCTGTGAATGTAAAGACCGCTCTTAGAGACAAGACAAGCCTAGACGACAAACTTACGACAGGAAGAAACGAATGCTGTATATACGTACCTAAAGTATACGCATAATCATAATACATACATACATACATACATAAAACATACATACATACATACATACATACATACATACATACAATACATAACATACATACATACATACATACATACATACATACATACATACATACTACATACATACATACATACATACATACATACATACATACATACATACATACATACATACATACATACATACATACATACATACAGCTCTTGTTGTTGTCAAATCGAACAAAGAGGAAGTGGCAATGTGGAAGTCTTAGTTTTTGTTGAGGCCGACAAATGCAGTTCCTGGCGGATCGCGGTGGAGAACTGTTTTAAGTCATTAGGATGAATCTTTGTCTCGGCCCTGATTTCACCATTTAAATGCGCGGTAAGCCTAATAAACCAGTAAAAAGAGTGACTTCGAAGTTTTCACTTAAAGAAGCAAGTCCCGTTAAACCTGAACATATCGTTATCCTGTGCAGTTTATATTTATTTGTTTCTATTAACGTGAACTTCTGAAGCGCTTCATTTAAGTGCTTTTTCATTACTGTGATAGCAGTTTTTGTAGTGCACTTTACAGAACGGGGCCCATACTCACAAAAAGCTATTACGGAGGAATCGATCGCATGAGAAAATTTCAGCTGTTTTTTATGCAGCACGCATTATCAGCGCAGGCGGTCGGGCCATATATAGTAAAACGCTATAGCGAACGAAGGTTCGTGAATTTCGTTTCTGTATAATTGCTCTCACGTCTTTTCTTTTTTTCCCCTTTGTTCATTTACAAATATATGTAAAGCTAGCGGGCCTCAATAATGACTGTGTTGTGTACGTTCATTCACTTAAATTTGTTTTATTTTCAATGAGACACATTTTATCACAAACTTTCGTGTAAAGCGCGCACTAGAATTTGGTTCTGGTTAAAGCTGCACCCAAAACAGTTTTGACTTGTCATTATGACGGCATGAAAATTTTTAAGTTCAAAACTGTCATGCCATGACAACACGTGACGCACGTCTTGAGACACCTCGAAGATTGTGCGAAACCCGCATCCCCCCCCCCCCCCCTGCTCGTTGATGTTACGCTTTGCTAAACACTAATTTGCGTTCATAGGCAACAATTTTTGCATGATTTGTCCTGAAGGAAATGATTCAAAAATGCAGCTGTGTTCCACGAGCAACTCGAGACAGGCAATCAATGCGGAAACGGAACGTAAAAAAAGCCCAAAATTTCGCCATAACTATTTTTTTTGTTATTGGGACCGTCGGCAAACCTACACACCGATACATTATCTAGGTGGCGAAATACACAACATGACTGTCATCCTTCTGAGCTTGATTCTTCAGCTAGCTGAACATGTTCACCCACGTAAAGCTTAAAGTTGAATATATTTAGTAACGTTATGTGAAGCATGCGTAGGGATAATGACCGTGTTGTATTTTTTTATTAAGTGACACGTTATGAAATAGATACATAAATATTGCACGCACAGGCATATGTTGAAAAGTTGAAGATGTTTATACAACCAGTTTTTTACACTTGCGCAACAATGTCAACAAGGACATGAGTGTTAGCAATACCAGAAGCGATAAGCTGATAAGCTGGTGCTCGGGAGGATGGCAGCCGTAAACACTGCAACATAAATCAACCTCAGCGTGTGGCACCTAACTACAATTGACGTTAACCTCTCAATTGACGTTAATCTATCTATCTATCCATCTATCCATCCATCCATCCATCCATCCATCCATCCATCCATCCATCCATCCGTCCGTCCGTCCGTCCGTCCGTCCGTCCGTCCGTCCGTCCGTTCGTCCGTCCGTCCGTCCGTCGTCTATCTATCTATCTATCTATCTATCTATCTATCTATCTATCTATCTATCTATCTATCTATCTATCTATCTATCTATCTATCTATCTATCTATCTATCTATCTATCTATCTATCTATCTATCTATCTATCTATCTATCTATCTATCTATCTATCTATCTATCTATCTATCCATCCGCCCACGCTTGGGTGCTCTTGTGGTCACCCCCTTAACTTGGCGAACCAAAAATAGTATGGGAGAGTGAGATGATTTGGCGAATACGACGCTCTGGTCAACACATGAATAACGCACAATCCCGTGGTGTACGTCGTCAAACAATTCCCGTCAGACAGTGGCACATACCCACGGGCGGGTATGGGCCACAGGTGATTGACACTAAGTATCTACCCAGGAACGACGAGAACACACATGGGCAATTTTAAGAGTGTTAAGAAATACCCGACATCGGTAGCGTCGACCCGACGAATGCAAATAATAAATTTCAGGGTTTCAGCAAGAATCAAACCCGATAATTCTGCGTGGCAGTCAAGCATTCTACTGCAGAGCTACGCGAGGTCTCGGAACTACTTTTCAAATATACGCTAATCTTCGTGAAACGTCAGTAGTAGTTGCAGTGTTGCCTACACAATTTTATAAACATTACATATGTATTCCTTTGATAGAGGCGTCATGTCAGGTTAACGTCGATTGTGGTTAGTTGCCATGCGCTGAAGTTGATTTATGTAGCAGTGTCCAGGGCCAGCATCCGCGCGAGCATCAGTGCTTCATATCAGCTTCTTGTGTTGTTGTAATACGTATGTTCTAGTTGGCATTGTTGCAGAAGTGCAATTAATTCGTTATATAAACATCTGCAACTCTTCAACATATATGCCTGTGCGTGCAACATTTGTACAAATATTTAGCGTCCTTTATTGACGTGTCGCTCTATAAAAAAAATGCAACATGGTCACTTTCCCTCCACATATGCTTCGCATAACGTCAATTACCAGGCACGTGGGATCTGCCGATTTTTTTTACATGCACTATTTCTTAAAGTTTTTACCCTCGGATGTAAGGGTGTGTTTCACCGAACATGACTTATCCTTGTGCCTTTTTGAAAGCATTTGAGAAATTTTAGGCTGTCGGAAATAACTAACCTCGTCGCTGAGTATCTCAGCTGGTGTTTTTAACATCTCAAAACTACCCCTAGCTGAGTCGCATGACAACCCGTATATAGGGGAACGCTCTGGAGTAATTTGGCCACCTATAACACGCACCGAAAAGTGGAGCACTTCTGCATTGACATTCACAGCAACAGTCATCGAAGTCATGACCTCGTGCTCATTATGCAAAATACCGAAGGCATAGTTCAAGGGCAACCTCTTTACAGTAAATGTTACTTAGTGCATACATGACGTAGAACAAACAAACAAAAAAGCGTTCCACACTCGCCGTCTTGGTTACAGGCGGCGCTGACTAACGCTCTCACGTTTAATTTACATATATACCCAATAAAGTGGATGGTGCATATCCACCGTGGTAGCTCAGTTGATAGAGCATCGGACGCTTTATTCGAAGGTCGCAGGTTTGGTACTTGCTCAAAGCAAGGTATATCTTCATCCACTTTTCTTTCTTCGCGTTTACACTACAATTACTTCATATGACATCCCCTATACTTTCTTTACATGAATGTCTGTTAGATCTCATTAATATTGTGTGTATATATAAAAACGAGCCTTTATGTGTACTCTTTTTTTTTAAGTGCATACAAGACCTTTTCTTAACACATATTGCACGACAACAATGTGCAGCCAGGCGCGAAAAGGCGCAATTTTCGCGCGGATGGCCACCAGAGTGACGATGCGGTTCATCAGACGTTAACGAACATGTATAAATAAATTGTGCAGGTATTCACAGAAACTCTTCCTTTATTTTAAATAACCTAGATCGGTTAGAGAGGGTTAGAGGAGCAGACATTGACCGATCGTGAAAGCAAACAACATTAGCGAAGGTAGCCATTCAATAAGAAAACGTCTCGGTAAAACAAATGTTAACGAATTTTGCTATACAGGACCAAAGAAGTTTATTGGTTTTCAAAAATGGGCATCCTGTTACCATGAGAGCACAAATATCGTTTAGAAAAGCTAAGGTCCGGGAAATTTCGGCTTCGTGGCAGAATTGATTAAGCTTTTTGTACGTTAGGGCCTGTTTTGCCAGCCATTTTTGTTGATTCGTTTGATGCGTCACGACTGCCTGGCACCTGCTCTAACCAATAGTTCTATGGCGTAAAATGTTTCTGTGAGCTTATACGTGCTCGGCTCGTCCGGGAGATGGTTGCATCTAGTTTTGGCCTGGTAGCGCTCTGGCAGAATTAAATTTAACATCTGACGCCAGTGGCACGCTACGCATGCCACATCACAGTCCGGAACACCTCCGGACATGGAACGCCTCCTTTTGCGAGGGGCATATATTTATGTCAAGTAAACCAACGCTCGCCAAACTTGCAACGAAAAAAAAAATTGGAGGACCCATAAAGGGGCCCTGAAACACTTTTTCAAATAACCACGGAATGCATTCACTGAAAGAGCTTATTGCCTCACAAATTTAACGCCGCAAAAATTTTAAGAATCCGTTCAGTGTGAGTGGAGTTGTAAAGGTTTGTCGCATGCTACAATTACATTCTCTCTTCTCTTGTCCCGACGAAAGCACTGGAAGCTAACCAGGGAGGGATGGCAGGGCCCTAGAAACACGTCGCGCGAGCGTTGCGACCTTGAGAACGATTTTTTCTTTTTTTTTCTTCGGATGCGCCGCTTCTTCAGTGTGATCGCCCACACACGCGTGGACAAGTGACGGCTTCCCGTGGCGAACTCTGTAACGAGCGAACGCGCCATGTTCAAATCAGCCAATGGCTGATAGATGGGCTTACTACGAGTGATTTTTGGGCTTATTGCGTGGTTTCTCGAGAAAAGAAAAGCAATTTTAAGCTGACTTTGATAATTTATTGTAAATTCCAGGCTGCGTGCTGAGCTATAATATTTGGCTCGCGTGTTCTCGGGAGCCTCTACTACCGATCGGCAGCGTTTTCTGACCATGCTCGAAAAGTGTTGTGGAGTCCCTTTAAGCTTCGCCTTTAAGAATTGAACGCGATAGCGAAATCCGGCCCGTACAGCACCCTTCAGCCACCAAGTGCATACTTATTCACACACGCACACACACACACACACACACACGCACACACGCACACACGCGCGCACACACACACACGCACACACACACACACACACACACACGCACACACACACACACGCACACACGCACACACACACACACGCACACGCACACACACACACGCACACACACACGAACGCGCGTGCACGCGCAAGCGCGACGTATCTATCGTAATGCAGTGAGTGACTGTGCGGTGTGGCCACTTCCCTCTGCTAGAACGGCGCTACGCTGTAGCTGAGACACATTGTCGCAATGTCGCATAGATGGCACACACACACACACACACACACACACACACACACACACACACACACACACAAACACACGCGTGCGCACGAATGGTACATACAGATTTTTGATCTAGAGCAGGAGTCGCATGGCCTCCAAGATGTACGCCGCGCTCTCGCCATCTCGGAGGCGATAGTCTCACAATGCTTCACAGATAGCAGCACATTATCTAGCGTTTGCTGTTTGCTTGATCAATGCCTCTGGAAAAGCATGATATGTTTTCCGCTAAATGGACATAGTTGTCCATTTTTAGGGCTGTTTGAAAGTTTGTGTGCTTTTAGCGGCCATGACTGCACTATCCCGGCCTTTTTCGAGGTAGTTTGAAGCCTCCCAAATGCGCCTACAAATCACTGAATGGACTTGTTTTCGTCGTAACGCCTGTCCGTCCATCCGTTCGTCCGCCGTTCGTCCGTCCGTCTGTCTGTCTGTCTGTCTGTCTGTCTGTCTGTCTGTCTGTCTGTCTGTCTGTCTGTGTCTGAAATCCCGTCGCGTACGTCGTGAAACCCTTTCCTCGTGACACGACTGGCACATACATGGACACCATGCGCCGTGGTATGCGGGTACGCGCCCCATGTGTTGGACAGTTTACATCTACCCATGAACGGCGAGAAGAGGCATTCGTAATTAAAATGCGAGACCGTTAAGAAAAACGGACATCGGCAGAGTTGACCCAACGAATGCAAATAATAAATGTTATGGTCTTAGCAGCAAAGGAACTCGGGTATTCTGCGTGGCAATTAGGTATTCTGCCACAGCCACACCAGTTCTCGAAACAGTTTCGGCAAAAGCCATATACAGGCGTGACACTGGTGAGACGTCACTTGTAGTTCCAATGCTGGATAAATCTAATCTTATAAACATTACATATGTACTCGTATGATAGAGGCGTCATGTCAAGTTAATGTAAAATGTATACTTAGGCGCCATCCACTGAAGTTGGCCTAGATAACGCTGTCCAGGGCTACCATCCCCGCAAGCAAAACTCCTACATATAAGTTTACCGCTTCTGGTGCTGGAATTACCATTGTTGCTTTGGGAATGTTAAGCAGTTGTAAACAACTATATGTATGAAACATATGTATATATTAACTTAAGTTTGTACGATATACACTATTTGTACATATTTTAGCCCCATTTTGTAACGTTTTGCTTAATGAAAAATTACACAATGGTCGCGTTGTTTGCGCACGCTTCGCAAAACATTGTTTTCCATGGGGCCTGCCCAATTTTTCTTTTCTTCTCTTTTTTGTCTTTTTTGTGCAAAGGGGGCACTGTTGTTGTTCGGAAATAAACAGAGAACACGAAAGCAAAAAACGTTTGACTGATTAGAGTCATGACGTCAGTGCCAGCCTCGTAGCTTATAGCAAGTACCGTGATAAGCTCCATTTTTGGCCACGGCAATCGAATTTCGAATGAGCTGTAATGCAAGAACCCACGTGTACTTAGACTTCGGTGCAGGTTAAAGAACCACAGGCGGCCCAAATCAATCCAAAGCTCCCCACTACGGCGTGGCTCATATCGTGGTTTTGGCTCATAAAACCCCAGCAATTATTTTTACGTGACAGCGTGTGTGAAGCGCTCCGTGGCCCATTGACGATCCTCGAAAAGGAATATCATTGAAATTGGAGTCCTGGCCCAGGTAACCTACCCTTTTATACTTTCATCGATCTCATGATACTGGGTTTGCACTGTGAATTGTTTTCATCGCTTCGGCATGGCTGCCTAATTCCCTTGTTCGCATACGTGCAGTGTGCTATTGCTACGTTTTCGTTGTCGCTGAATCATGGGGAACTTCCTGTTCGTGTGACCCGTATTTTCGGAGTACACGGAGTCAGCCGCTTCTGTAAAAGCCTTTCTTGTGTTTGGAAGCTGTCAAAGCATTCTGCTTGAAAGCTTCAGAGGTGTTGCTTAACTTACCGTTTCGCAGGTGAAGTACTGGCGCTGTTCGTAGTAGGTCAAATCCGCCGAGTTGTTTCCGTGGGCCCGACGGTAATGGACGCCCGATCCTTGCCCAGTGCAGCGGCACGTCGCCTCTGCGTGTGTTTGCTCGCCGTTTTGACCCTGGGCGACGCGTGCTATCTTTCCGATGGTTTTCGTTACCAGAGACACCTGGCTGGCGTTACATGGGGGAGCTTGCCAGCCGGAGCACATCTGTAAGAGAAAGGGAGAGAGTGAGACAAGCTTGTTAAAAGTCGAAAGAGGTGAGAGAACATTCTGTCTTGACTTGTGCCCGTTTGCTACAGCAACGCGCTGAACGGGCACAATCTGGGCGTATGGATAAGCAATGGAACTTAGTACCTAAGGGAACACGAAAGATACGCGACGACTAAAGATAACAGGAATGCAGCAGTGATGAAAACTAGGGAACTGTGGAATTACAATAGGTATCATGTTGTGAAAGCTAAGAATATGGAAAGGGGCCATGGTTCCTAGTCTGACGTTCGGCAATGCGGTCTTGTGCATGAAATCAGAAGTTCAAGCAATATTGGAAATTAAACAACGTGGCATAGGTAGGCTTGCTCTGGGAGCACACGGGAATACCCCAAATCAGGGGATACAGGGAGACAAGGGATGAACATCGTTTGAGTGCAGGTAAGCTAACAGCAAGATAGAATTTGTGGGGCGATTGCGAAAAAATGGGAGAGGAGCGTTGGGCTAGGAAGGTTCTCAGCTACTTGTACATAAAGAATGTCGATACAAAATGAAGGAAGCGAACCAGAAAATTGACTGGTAAATACTCAGAAAACAGCAGGGGGCCAAACCAAAAAATATTATTGGTTAAGAAGGTGAAGGAAGCTGAGACCGATATGAGGAGAATCGGCATGATTAAGAAGTCCGCTATAGAGAACTTTTAAGCAGGAAATTGCCAAGGAAAGGATCTATGATAATACTCGGGGTAGTTCTCTACTGTTTGAGGCGAGGACGGGAGTATTGCCAACCAAGACATGTCGGGCCAAATACGAAAAGGTAGACACGGTATGCAGTGCGCGTGGAGAGGAGGAGGAAACTGCCGAACACTTGATAATGTTCTGTAAAGGGCTTCACCCTATAGTTCAGGATGATGGTGCAAAGTTTTTCAAAGCACTGGGGTTTAGGGACAGGGTGGGCAAAATACACTTTGAGTGGGTAGAATTAACTAAAAGGAGGTTATCTGATTGGTGGCTAAAGTCAAGGCACAAGTGAAAATTAAACCCTTCACTGCAAAATACCAGTCCTCAACCTCACTATTTAAAGGGGGGAAAAGAAATCTAGTTTTTGGTTCACTAAGTATTACGGCTTGGTGGCGTTAGCCACCGCCCGACCCAAGGGCGGTGGCTAACGATGGATATCAACGATGGATATCAATCCATCCATCGCTGAAAAAAGTAGAACGAAAGCCGCTGAACAACGTAAGCGTGAGCCCGAAATGTTTGCAGTGATCACAACACCTAGAACACTGAGTGTGTCATGATGGCTAAAGAAACATGGTATTTTTGCATTCGTTAGGACGTAAGAACTTCGTTGTTTATGAGCGATCTGAAAACAAAGAATTGAAGAAAAAGAATGAGAGCCTGAGTCTGATTGATTACGTGTATCAAGTGATATATATATATATATATATATATATATATAAGGGAACGAAGTGTATACCTAAGGGCTCGTTTGTCCGTGTTTTGACACAATATTAATGAGATCTAACAGACAGTAATGCCAATGAATGTACAGGGGAAGTTATTAGAACCAATGGAACGTAAAATAAGAAGAAAGAAAAGTGGATGAACAAATATGAATAAAAAATAACCAGCCGTGAGCAGGAATCGAACCTACGACCTTCGAATAACGCGTTCTATTCTCTATATATATATACAAACATACATTGGGAGTAATAATTCAATGGGCGGCCAGTTAGTCTTCGTGAAGGCATGCGATATGGCACAACGGCAGCGTTGCCACAAAGGTAAATATATTTATTTCCCAACAGTTTTGGGAGGGGTCCTCCCTTCGTCAGGGGATGAGCATTGAAGGACTGTGGTTATACTAACATAGACGTTCAAACTTCGTTGCTGCCGCGTCCCTCTCTTCTTTAAAGATGTTTGCGAGAGTGAGACGACGACGACGACAACAACAACAACAACAACAACAACAACAACAACAACAACAACAACAACAACAACAACAACAACAACAATGTCACGGACGGCTATTTTCGGCGACACCGCGTCACGGCAATTAACGGGCGCCGTACTCCCCGACTGACCGTGAGAAACGGCGGCACATGAAAGGGAACCGATAAGTGCAAAATGGGGTGCTCTCCTTAGAACGTCGCCGCCGACAGTTAATCCTTTTGTAACTGTGGCGACGTCTGCAAGGTCGTAGAAGGCCGCGGTATACCCCGAAAAAGGATTAGACTACGAGACACGCGGGCGGAGAGCCAAACGTTTGACCGTTCCCACGGAGAAAAGCGTGGGAAACGCTCTGGTGGCCAAGCCGTATGACAACAACCAGACAGGTTGTCACTCTCGCTAGTTGCGGGCCCTCTCCCTATTAAAAAGGGGTGGGGTCAAAAATATTTTTGGGGCGGAGTTTCCCCTCAATTAAACGCGCATGATTGGACCCAGGTAGAGGTCTCTTGTCCCCAAGGAAGAGAGCGAGGAGACACGAGGGGGATTTAAGCGCAGGATTTTGCCCTGCTAGGCAGACTAGTCGCTGACCAAGATGGTGTAGAAACAGATCAACAAGCATCTCTTCTAGAAGTTTTTAGTGTGGCTCTGTATCGGCTGGCCACCTAAACTTAGCCGTTCGTCTAGTTGTGACGCGATATTAACGTCTGCAACGTAGACATCGGGACTTCGCCTCGAGTTAGCTCAACCTGCTCGAAGTCACCTGCAAGCACTAGCCTCCCGGAGCCACCAGCGTTGCAACACCGCCGACATCGCAGTCGTGCCAGAACTCTCTTCGACTTCTCGCATACGATCGTCGGGGACACAACGCTGCCGGTCATCACACGTATGCCTTCACCTGTTTATATCTTCGAACTTTCTCCTGCGTAATTCTATTCTTGTTAGTTTGTGTAGTTTGTAATAGTTCTCTCGCGTAAGCTGATTTAATGTTTTTATATGTGTTTTTTAGTTGTATCAAGTGTTGATGTATTTTGTTAGTTGTATAGAAGTGTTGTATTTGATCCCGTGTTGCTGCAATATCACTAGAGTAAAGTTTGTTTTGTTTTCCCACGTCTCTGATCTCTTCACTGTCTCTGCTTGCGTACGGAACGAACCAACCTGCTGTCATTCCCGTCGCCGACTTCGCGCTGGCGACGCTAGAGTGGCAGCTTGTAACAAACAACAACAACAACAACAACAACAACAACAACAACAACAACAACAACAACAAACACTGTGAGCGCTGAGCACGAAACCAGCCTGTGCAGATCCAAATGTCGGTTAAGTCCACATCCGGTTCTCATCGTGTGCTGGCCAGTTCTCGACGTGTGTCGGGCCACCCAAGATTGTCGCTGCGGTGGCGGGAGGGTTCCGCGACGGCGTGCGTAAGGAAAGAGTGTCCCCTTAATGGGTCGGTCGGCTCTTTAGCTTTGATCTTCGCCCGTTTCCCCTCAATGGCCATCAAGTGGAAGGCGAGCGTAAACACTTTGTATTTTGTATGTACACGCGAGAAAAAAATGTATGAAAAAACAAAGAAAATGAAAAAAGGAAAAAAAAGAAAGAAAAGGCAGTGTATATGTATACGTTGAAAAAAAGAAAAGAAAGGACAGTGTACACGTACGAGTCAGTCAGAAAAAAACAAGCATGGTCTCCAGCTATGAATCTTTGTCACCAATTTCCTCCTGGCTTACTTCCCGGAGGCAGGAGAGTCTTCCGGGGTACTCGTCGATGCCGGCTACTAAAGTTCTAAATTTGAAAACAAAATATGCCTCACGCTGTGCGCGCTCGCGCCTCTTTGAGAAACCAGACTGTAAAATAGTTACGCTGATGTTTTCAAAACTGTGGTTTGGCAGGCGCAGATGTCTAGATAAAAATAGCTTCGACAGTGAAGTGGCGTGGTACCGGTGATTATTGAACCGCAGCCGAAATGGGGTGTCTGTTTGACCGATATATTCACGTCCGCAGATGTTGCAATGTAGCATGTATATTACGTTACTAGAGTCACAATTAAGGCTTTCAGTTATGCAGAATTTGAGATCCGAGAAGTTCGCTTTTGATTCACGTGTTGTGACCACCTGTGGGCATACCTTGCATCGATATTTTCCGCAGGGATGGCACCCTGATTGAATATTGAAGGGGTTTGTTTTTGCTATGACAAGAATGTCCTTCAGGTTTTTTATCCCTGCGGTACATTACGTGAGGTGGCTTCGCGAAAATTGAAGTTAGTCGTTTGCTTTGCCTGATTATGTGTAAATGGCGGGAAAGTATGTTGTTGATTTGTGTCACTGATGAGGAGTAAGCTAGTACAAGTTCGTTTGGGAAGTCGTACTAACTACGGGGCACTGCATTTTTGTTCTACAGTGGATAACGGTGAACCGGAGAGGCGTACCTTGAGTTGAGTTCTTGCGGTGACGTTGAACGCCGATGCGTTTGTCGCTGTCTCGAAACCCTCGGGGCAGGGCTCCTTGCGCGGGCAGCGGCAGAGGCGGATCTCGAGTGGGCTCTGCCAGTAACGCCGATGGATCAGACTGCAAGCAGAGCGCTCCGAGGCGCACACCGGCAGCTCGCGTTCCCAGGTGGCCTGTGTGCGTGCGCCCGTTCAACAAATTGTGCGCCCATAGGAACGCCGATGACGCGGCTCAAGTACTTCAGATAACTGATATATGTAAAGATGGCCGGGTTGAATTTAGCGTGAGCTGGAAAGTTTTTTTTTTCGGTGAATACATTAACAAGGAGCTCAAGAGGACACGATTAATATTTAGTCCCAAAATCATATTGCCTGAAAGGGAAAAGCGAGACACCTGAAGTGGCGTTTGCATACTATTCTGTAGTCGACACGGAGTCATGAACGAACCGCAGTCTACACTCTTGCGTATGAACGGCTTAAAAAATTCGACAGTTCAGTGGTTGCCGTAATTAACAGTGCCGTTAACCTGCTCATACATGTAGCGACTATGACACCGTGTAGCCCAGGCAGTCTTATAGCAAATGAGTTCTCGTGTAATCTTCATATTTCATCGCTAGATTATTCGGCTAAACATCACATGCCTTTCGTTTTATGCATTGTTGCAAGATCCCGCAGTGGCGGCAGCATTCCGATGTAGACGTAATTTGTATAAAAACGTTCGATGTAAACTTAATTTGTATAAAAACGTTCGTGTACCGAATTTCAATTTAATTAACCAATTGATGCGCGAGCTTCGCCATAGATTCATAAGAATTACGAAATCTTTACTATTAAAGCTGCTCGTGAGAGCATGTGACATTCAATCGCGACATTGGAGATACATTTGGCGTAATAAGCGGCCGGCAAAAACCAAGAATCACATGAGGAAGGTCATCTCAACGAATTCGGCCACTCAGGTTGTGAAAATTATTTTGCAAATATTCACTGCGGCATCTCTCTTAGCGTCATGCATCAACTTATCAATCAATCAATCAATCAATCAATCAAATAATTACATGCGAGACATTATAATCAAATGATTGGAGATAGTGTGGGTGCTCTATCACGGTTTTATAGCCGAAAAAAGAATACAGGGCCGCGTGCATAAATCCCCAGAAACGTTTTCAGTCTACATCACATATAGACAATTTTCTTTACTCAATTGTTTGTGATGCCATACCTGCATAGTGTACTCTTATAAAGTTGAAGGATATGACCTCTAAAAGTGATTTGCTTAATTAATCGATCAATTGAAAAGTCTAGTGCTGCTCGGTCCATCGACTGAGCCTGGTATACCGTTACCGGCGGGGCTGCAAGGTCGTTGTTATCGTAAACAACGTATGCTGCCCGCTGTCTTCTCCCCTGTTGTGAACCTTATTACGCAGTCGTCTCACGTCAATCACCTGAACGCTACGGTACACGTCAGACGTTGACCGATCGCTGAGTTGGCAGCGGCTGACTCAGCAGCTGCGGACTGCACTGGCACAAACAAGTTTAGAAATGTTCGGCTAGGGCACGTGGGTTTGAGTTTTTTTGGGGGGCTCGTAAAAGTCAGCGGATAACAACGCTGAACCCTTTGTTGCCTCACTTACTGTCTGGCCATGCGGCGTATATTTCTGCTAAACGAAACATTTTGCATCCGGTTTCACTGTCTGCCGTATACTACGTGGAAACGGCCACCCAACTTCTGACCTGCTGGTCGCTGTATCAAATCCCGTCCGCAGCGGCAACATTTTCGATGATGACGAAAATTCTTGAGGCCCGTGTAGGTACTTAGGTTCAGGTGCTCGTTGAAGAACCGCAGGTAGCAAAAAATTTCGGAGCCCTCCACTACGGCGTCTCTCATAAACATATCGTGGTTTTGGGACGTTAAACCTCATCAAATATTATTTAGAACGGCCGCCTTCACACTTTGGTACGAGCGCGAGCTTTTCTCGGTCACCCATGTACCTAAAAGAAAAAAAAAGGTATACTCTGGCTGCCACTATCTTGGCAGGTATATTTATAAAGAACTACATTCAAAGCTAGTAAAAGAGTAGTCCTGCTGGTTATTTTTTTTTTAAGACCGGCACCACAGTCGGAGTGGCAAGGAGCCCCAAGAGCATTTCGGGTAATTCGCCGATGTAGTTGAAACACTTTAGCGGGGCGCTAGTCGCTTTTTGAATATCACTGTCCGAACTGGGCGCTGCACGCACTGTTCCTCACAGTGTATGGCAGCTGGAGGGTGTAATGCTAAGTTCGGGCTTGTTACGAGACTGTTTGAACAATAAATAATGAGACTATTATTATCCGCGATGTACTACAATTTGCTCAGGGGCTTGTTACCGTGCTCCTTGAGCCAATATCGTTTTCAATACCTCGTTTACAAGCTCGAGAGGGCGAACTTGGAGCAAGAAAAAAGAGCAACGACTCCACGTGGCGTTGTTAGGTTTCCGTGGTAGTAGTAGGCATCGGCGATCGTTATTCTTTACAAATGAAACACCCGGACAAGTGTAAAGAGAAAGTACGTGTGTACCCTGTCGACATGTCTGGTTTTCAACGCACACGACACTTAAAAAAAAAAAAGAAAGACCACTTCTGATAGAACAACATTTCAGCAAAATCAGAGTTCGTTTAATAATTGACAGCGAGGCATTTTTTAATGGGGTGAAATGCTGGCAGATTGTAAGTATTATTTTTATTCTTCACGTAGATCGCATGGAACTACGTCCTCGTTATAACTGGGAGAGACCATTCTGCGGAAAGGATATGATGAGGAATATTGGAAGAAGAATCTTTAGATCAAACGAATTCTTTTGAAATATGCCTCCATGTAGAGGTGCACCTGGCGACGCGCCAAACATGGATAAATGAAAAGCGGTGACGTTGGAAATGACGCACATTCGCAAACAAACCACACCAAACAATCGCAAAAACACACAGCTGCATCACTTCAGAGTAGATAAGAATTCATTGAGGCATTGAATTCCGTTATGACTATTTTGTTTCGTGTTCTACTAGTCCAACAGCACAAGACTCCTGTGATCACGCTTGTTAGTACCGGTGAACATAAACACGGTTCGTAATTTTTCAACGTGCATCATTGATCTGGTCGTGCTATTCATTAAAGACGAGCGATATCGAGAAGTGCTAGGAGTGAAGAGGACGTTCTCAGAAATGTTACTGCTATTATGATTTATCTGGTGCCCTATTTTCGTGCCCAAAGAAGTAACACTACTAAAAAATGCACTGTCACCCATATTTATATGAAAAGATGTTCGGGACCAATAACTTACGAATGCTAGCAAGTGGGTATATTGAGAATGATATAAAAGTCCCGGCGTATCGCATCTGTAAGGAAACGCTCGGCGAGAGCCATGGTTAAGAGACCTAATTCACGGAAGCATTACAGCGTAACATTTCATCCGACAAGGGTTCTTATGACTGTGAGAATCCCAGCCTGACGGCAACGCACGCCTACCGCATAACGTGTAGCATCTTTAGGCAGGAACAAACACGTCACATAACGCGAGCGCATGCGCCTGTCCCCTGGGACAGGACCCTAAAGTCGCTGTTTGACTCAGCGTCGTTTAAACGAATGCCCACGTGTGTTTACGAAACTACGCGGGCCGTCGACTTCAATCAAGTGCTCACGTGCGCCAGGTGTCACTGGCGGCATTCGCGTAAGGAACACGGCGCGCAGGTGGCGAAACACGCGCGGAGTGTGGCTCCGCGCATTATGCACGAGAGAATCTCGACTGTCGCAACTCAGGCGGGAAAGAGAGTCGACCGTGTTGCTGCATGCACGGCTGCTGCTGCTCACCCCGTTTCCGAACACGACGAGCGCTAAGGCAACGGCCAGGCTGCAGCAGGAGAAAACGGCCAGCACAAGGCACCGTCGCGCGAGGCCCGCCATGCTCGTCGCCGCCGCTCCGAGGCCCCTCTCCTCGCGCAGCTCGCTCGACTGATGCCTCCCCCACCCCACCGCGCGCGAGTCTCGAGCCAAGGGGCGCGACAATGAAAGGGCGGCCTAACAGCTCGTCACCTGACTTCCCAGAATATCCCGCTGACCGGTTCGCTTACCGTTTTGCTGAGTACAACTTTGGCGCTTTCTAAGTTTAAGGCGGGCCTTTTTTTTTTTTTTTTTCAAAATAGACGCCCAGTTTGACTACGGGAGCGCCGTGACGGCCCGTCGGAGACACCCTGGCCTTCGCAGGACGCGGTATGCTGAAGTGACCTGGATTACAGTGCCACGGCCACTGGGTAAAGGGAAGGCACCGCTGTTCCTTTGTATGCAGTGGCCGTGCTAATGCGCTGTATTCGTATTTCAATAGGCTTAATTTCGAGGGGGTTGTTACTTTAACGTATATTTCACCGAGAAACAAAAACAAATGTAGGCCCTTTTATTTCTTTTTCCAATTTGGGATGGTGGATCTACATTCGAGCAAGCTTTTGCATGCCTCGGTAATCCAATAAAAATATTTTTTAATTTCCACTAATACAGTGTTGATGGAGGGAGTGGGGAAAAAAGTGACATGCTGCTTGACTAAGTTTCCACCCCCCCCCCACCCCAATTACATCAGACAAAGGGAGTGGTGGCGACAGTATACATAGAATTATTGCACTAACTCACTTTCGTTGCACAAATTTATGAAAGTACATGTAATGAAGAAATTTGAAATGGAGGCAGTACAGGTTGTGTACACTTGACATAAAAAAAAAAAATTGGGGGCCCTTAAGCTTCGCCTTTAGGAGTTGAACGCGTGATAGCGATGTCACGTTCCTGAATGCACATGTGCATACATTCGTTTGTTGCACGCATAAAATGCGGCTTTTGCGAGCAGAGGAAGTTATTTTGTCTGTGTTTTCAAGCAGAGATGTGCGCGAGTGGTAGAAGATTTGCGTACGAAGATTTGCGTACACGCATACGACCTGGCTTCTATCCTTACTCGGACTCAGCATTTTTTCATTCTTTGTGCGTTCTTTTAGTGGATACAACCAGTGTGAACTTGCTATGCACCCACTACGTGGCCTTAAGGGAATAGGCACAGTAGCGCGTGTCCCTTTTGTAGTGGGTGACTGGCTTAAAACCCTGAAGCCATAAAAATGATCACTTTTTGTGACGGCTGCTGGCAATGGGAGCTTGTACCACGCATAAATTTTGCAATATTTCATGCTGCATTGTTAAGCATGTATACAGGAGACAAGTGTTTGTAAAGCAATAATACTTGCACTGCATTTCCAAGCAGATGAAGTTATTTTCACTGTATTCAAAAGCAGAGACGTGGCCATGTGGTAGAACATCCGCTTAGCACGCCAACGACTCTGGTTCGGTCCCCACTCTGACCGAGGATTTTTTCATCATTTGCACCGTTCTCGATTTTTCAGTCACGTGTAAGATAATAATTTTTCGCTCACAACCAATGACGCTGACACCAACGCTGACGCTGGAATCTCTGCGAGACGAGCAATTTAACGCTATCGCATTAAAAAGCATAGATGAGCTTGATTGCAAAAGCTTTGTGCAAATATGGTAAAAGGAAAGACTGAGAACAGAATAGGAAAGAGGCACAGAACATGACAACACATTGCACGATACACATAAGGGTGTAAAGGCTAATTATGTGCTCTAACGGTTAGAATCAATCGGAAATTCGCGGAGCTGTGCTAGTGTAATGTTTGCAATTTCAATTCCTGCAAAATATAGTTTTTATTTAATTATAACGGTAACTCTTTGCATACCATAATTTGTTTTTATATAAGGAAGTACCCAAAGAGGCTGATTACAATGTCGGTACTGTGACTTGTAAGTTTGCATATAAGCTAACTCTGATAATGTAGACAAACGTATTTTTAACATGACATAGGAGCTAGGAAAAAAAACAAGAAATTTCCTGTTTAACAGAACGTTTCCTTCTATAAAAGGAAACATTTCCTTCAAAAACAAAGGAATAAGTTACTTTTAATTAGTGTCATCTTTAGGCTAATGAACAAGCGTGATCTTTTTCAACACACAACCATTTTCTCGTGCTCCTCAAAAATTATTGGTTTGAAATGCGAGCGCGATACGTAGACAGGGACAGCTAAGACATGGCCAAGCACCTATGCGTGCCTTAGGTGTCCCTCTCTATGTATCGCGCTCATATTTGAAAGCGTCATGAGTCACCAACTCGCCCAATAAACCATTTTGCGAAAAATTCGAATTAATAAAAGGAGAGATTAGGGGAGGCGAACAAATTTGTTTCTCTTTTTTTTCCTTTTTACTGTAATGAAGTTGTTCGGTGTCACGGAAGGAAATCATCAAAAATTGCGGGTGCAGGCGGACTCGTGGCGTATAGATGAAATGATAACGCTTCAAAGTAGCTTTCCAAACTCCCTTTCCTCATCGTTCTTCCCCTCCCCGGTGCCCTCGCTGCTATTCCCGGTACACCACAAGGAAGCTGTTTGCGGTCAGCTATTAGCGTCCTGTTTGTATGACTTGCATTTCGTTGTTTGCGTGTGTGTGCGTGCACGCTAAGTAGCCATTAAATTGAGCATTAAAATTAATGGCTGTTGCAAAAGCTGTTGGCTGTTGGAATATCAATCCAAATATGCAAAAAGGAAATACAGTAGAAAACATCCAACGGAGATGGCCGCTGGCAGTGCATTTGACCAAGGAAGTGTTCCTTAAAATAGTAATGTGAACACAAGATGGCATTGAAACTTCCAGACACCACAAGCACAGAACTTCTACTACGGTTGGGCAAGCACAATGCGCTTGAAGAGCTAATAGAGGCACACCAAATCTCGCAACTGGAGAGACTAATCAGGACACGAACGGGCAGGAGCCTTGTGGACAAACTCCGGAATATAGCCTATAATAAGCAGCACGGCGATAAGAAATCCCTCCTCAACCCGGTCAGAGAAAAGTTCCCTGTGACTAACATACCCGACAACATGCACCCCGAACTAAATCAGGGCCGAAGAGAGAGCAGAGCCCGCGGTCTCTACTACAAGCCTTTCGTATTTCGTGTCCTTCTTGTCTCTGTGTCGTCGTTTTGTTCTCGCGCTATAACTATCGTCGTTCTTTCGAATATGAATGGCTCCGTACAGCTCCTGATCAAGTGCAATTTTGTCTCTCTCTCTATATGGATATAGGTCTGCGCGGGGTTCGCTTCAGGGGGGGGGGGGGGGGGGTTGTAGATGGTTTATTGCAGGGACCCCTCTCCCTATTAAGCCAATATATGGGGCGGACTTTGCACATCCCCATCCACCTTCTTGGCTTACTAGCAAAAGCGGCGGACTCCTCCTCCCAGCTGCCCCCTCCCGTGCTCACGCCTCTGCCAAAATGATATTGGGGGTACGGGACTGCGCATAACCGCTACGAAAAACAACTGAAACGCTGCTGCAATTTCTCAAGGCTACCACACTGATTGACCATCTGTGACATGTATTTGATGATTGATGATTGATATGTAGAGTTTAACGTACCAAAACGACCATATGCTTATGAGAGACGCCGTAGTGGAGGGTTCCGGAAATTTCGACCACCTGGGGTTGTTTACCGTGCACCCAAATCTGAGCACACGGGCCTACAACATTTCCGCTCCATGGAAATGCAGCCGCCGCAGCCGGGATTTGATCCCCCGACCTGCTGGTCAGCAGCCGAGTACCCTCGCCACTAGACCACCGTGGCCGGGCACCGTCTGTGACATCGAGCACGGAACTGTGACGATGTCAGCGGCTGCGAAAGGTGTTTTTTTTTACCTCCTCTCAAATTTTCCCCTTCACCAGTGGAAGGAAGCCAACGGCGCTCAGTTAATGTTGATGCCCTTTTTTTTAAAATCATTCAGTTGATTTTTTTCAGAAGTGCGCGCTAATAATAATAATAAAATAATAATAATAATAATAATAATAATAATAATATTAATAATAATACTTGAGGTTTATCACCCCGAAACCGCGATATGATTATGACGTTCGCTGTAGAGGAAGGCTCCCGAAATATCGACCACGTCGGGTTCTTTAAGGTGCACTGACATCGCACAGAGTTCAGGCTCTGCCATTTCCCACCCGCCGAAATGCGACCGCCGTGGTCGACATCGAACCCGCAGCCTTCAGGTCAGCAGCTGAGCACCGTTCCGGAGCCCTCCACTACGGCATCTCTCATAATCATATGGTGGTTTTGGGACGTTAAACCCCACATATCAATCAATCAAGCTGAGCACCGTGACCACTGATTCACAGCGGCGGACAGTGTGCGTGCTAGTAAAGCACTCTATCTTTTTATTCACATCTTTTTCCCCCTCCCTCACGCAGAGTAGCAAACTAGAAATACGTATACCTCACTGCCTTTCTTCACTTCTCTCACTCGAAGTAAATCAATTATGATAGCGTCTCACGTAACCCACCACGGTTGTCCATTGCTTATGGCACCCAACTGCTGAACCGAAGATTTGAAGATTTTAGGATTGATTTCCTGTCACAGCAGCTGCATTTCAATGGAGACGAAATGTCAGAGGCTCCTTAGTTATATATATATATATATATATATATATATATATATATATATATATATATATATATATAATATATATATATATATATATATATATATATATATATATATATATATATATCGTCATTTTGGGCACTAGAACCGCAACCATTTGAGTTATGATCAGCGTCACCCGTATAAATAACTACAATTAGGTTTGCACGCCTCAATTTAAGCGTGTGCAGATGCGATTGTACAACTGTGAATGACTTTGCGGCAAAGGCCGTTTTATGGCCTCTGGATGCATGCGCGAAGAATGTGCGCACGCTTTTTTTTTCGTGAACGCTTTGCACTTATCAGTATCTTGCGCAATACGGGAGTCACTGTCCTGCATAGAAAAAATTGAAGGACCCTTTGAAAACTTAAAAACTGTGTTCGACGAAAGCTTGAGGCCATTCAACTGACTATGCCATGACTTCTTTTTTACAGTCCCAGTAAAATGGCACACAAACGAAGTGTGTGCTTGTTTTTTTTTTCCGCGA